CAAAATTTTTTGAGGGCGGAATATTTACTTCCGTCGAAGGCAGGTGAGTTTCAGACACTTACGAACTAAAAACTACTCCATGTTTTGTCCAGGCTGGGGCCACAGTCCGTTATTGCTACTGCACCTACAACCCCGGGCACTCACCATGGCTGCGAGTAGTAGTATATTTTTGCACAACCACGGAGTCTTAGTGTGAAGTTGCATTGAAGCGGAGCGGAGCAGACCTGAGAAAAGCTGTGCCGCGATTCACCAATCAGATAAAACATCAATCATCAGAAATATCTCAGGTGTGGATTTCAAGCCATGTGATTGGTGAATTGCGGCACAGCTCTTCTCCGCTCTGCTCCACTCCGCCTTAATGGAACTGCACCCTTAACGTGTAGTAAGTAATTTGAAGTTTCTTATTATTAATACGCTGTCAACATGTTGAAAACTGTGAAATTGCGCCATTATAAAATAACTTCATAAGCTTTTGATATTTTATATCTAAAAAATACCAGTGGTAGTCGTCTACGAGAATTTCAGTTGAAACATGTGTAACAACTACTCTAAGATTGGAAATACTGCTCGAACATTCGTCAGGATGCCCCGAGGTCAATCCGTTGGTCCGCATAGAATATTGATAGAAATTCTAGCTATCTACCGTACGAAAAGCCAGTTCCTAGGAATTAATTCTTTTTTTCACAATTTTATGAAAAAGTTCTAGAACGTGTTTTTCGAGTTTCAAAATTCTTAGAAGTAATAAAGTTGTTGTACGTTTGGTTTTGTTTATAAGGGGTGCCCTAAAAAGAATCTCTATACTTAAAGCCTGCATATTATGTGTCAGGCAGGTTAGTATAAAAAATATGTTATTTACAGCGTCTTCTGGTTACTAAAATCTGATAAAAACTTAATTCAATAAAAATTCCTTGTGAAAACCGTCGGAAAAGTTTAGTTTATCTTTATTGCTGTGCAGTCTTTTAACCTGCCATGAAACAAATCAAAAAGGCTTCTTTATAAAACAGTATAAAACGAAACTACCTGAATCAAAATTCAAATTCATTTCAAAAAAGTTTGTAATCAAAACCACTTAATGATTAATGTTAATTATTTTGAAAAACAAGTTTTTATTTGTTATTTCGTGTGAACTTTTAAAGGCCAAGCTAATATAAGATCATTGTCACTTTTTGCTGTCCTTTGAATTATAAAATCAGGATGATATCGTTTTTCATTGTGAATAATATTAGACTGTATTGTTTGCAATCGTAATTAGCGGGGTTTATAAATTAATTACTAAAATGAGGATAAGTTTAAATTGCATAAATATTGTTTAGCGGTATTGATATTTTACATTTCTATTTATTTATTTTATTCAATCTATTTAATGCATCGGTTGAGAAATGAAAAATATTTTTATTTAATTTTGTTGTAAAACACTCTCTTACATAAACATATGCATACAATATAATAATTAATAATTTTTATTTTAATAAGATTTCTCCATAATATTGTTAGTATTACAAGTTCTTAATATCTAATGTTGCTTACTAGCAAAACAAAAAACAATGTTTTCATTCAGTAGTATTCATAAATGAAAATAAAAATGATGTTCCTCAGTTTAATAATGTTAGTTCAAAAATAAAAATATATATTCATTTTTTATTTTCAACCACTGTATAAAAACCTATTCATACTTTGAAGAAATTAAAAATAAATAACAGCCAAAATCTGGTCATTAAAAGCTACGCTTGCAGTCACTCGATGATGATTATCCTATGAGACACTCAATTAAAATGAAGGTCATAATATGCGTAAATAAAGGAAATGATTTAAAACCTTTCTTTGGTAAAAGATGAATGCACGCGAACAAAAGAAATTCAGTCGTCTACCTTGAGTCGGTCGACGACTCAGTGATCAGAATCTGATGTTGCAATTGTAAAAATGAAAGTGATTCCACACTTACTTTTCCTCTCACTGCATATCTCATGTGAATGCAGAAATTATAATAATTAAAATAAGTGCAATTCATAAACATTCGTAATGTTTATTCTTTTATAAACTTCCAGTGAGTGTGTAAGCATAATAATGTCTCAGTTTATTTTTTTATGATTATCTCTACCCTTGAACAACATCTTAATAGCTCTAAGGCCCTATGTTAAAATAGTTAAATAAGATTATCAAATGACTCCTCTCGCCCCGGGATTTGGTGAGAGGGAGTGTCAGACTCTTACTGACTAAAAACGATTACTTCTCCTGCTCAAGGCTGAGGCCATAGGACCATTTTACGGGTTAGTATCAACCCTGTTGGGCTGCCTCTGTGGTTAGCTACTAAAATCAGTAGACAGTTGATTTTGACATTAGTACATTCGTCAATGCGGAAATATACCTTCAAACCACCGGATAAATTAAATATTAAATAATTGTTGTGATTCCATATTTTTAAATTAAAGGAAGTACACCCGCAGACGTATGGTACAAAAAGTTTTAACGACAAGCAGGAAAAAAAATACTGGTTCGAAATATTGGTAATAAAATTTTAGTACGGTCTGTGATTATAATTATATTACAAAATCCACATTAATTATCAATTTTATTGATTCATACAAAAACTTAAGAAGTACGTATCTATATTATGTTCATGTGTATCTATTTGGAAGGGTTTTATAAAAAGCTACCGGCAATTAAAGTTTAATTTCATAAAAATGTTGTTTTTAATTCCTTTAAGTTGATTTTACATTGAAACTAGCGCGCCACCGTCCTTCATACGAGTGCCTAGTTATCTCTGCGTCAGTCACTTGTTTTGTTAGAAATAAAGAAATTTACACTATATACCAAAAAATATATTTAGTATTAATTATATAAGTAAAAGCTATATAAGAACCAAAGTTTATGTAATAGGAGGCAAACGAGCAGACGTATCACCTGATGGTCAGTGATCTACGCCACCCATGGACAGCTGCAACACCAGAAGAGTCCAGGCGCGTTGGCTGCATTTTAAGAAGGAGAACTGTAACGTTTCTCGATGGTTTGTATTGTAGGTCGTATCGGTTCAGAAATAATAATTTCTGTTTTGAATCCTCTTAATCTCAAAAAACATCATAAAAACTAAACACAACAAAATTTATTTGTTCATTCAACATGATAAATAGATATGGTACACCCAAACGAGCAACACGTCATCAATTCCCCACAAAATGTTTAAACGAAGTCGTAAGGAACGTAACAATATGGAAATTGGTGTAATTTGTTCTGCCCATACCGTGAAACACCCGTTTCCTTGGCCCTGTTCGTAATACCGTCTATGTTGCCAATATTTCTTACACACATAGACTTTTTCGACGTAACCAATCTTTTTTGGAGATTGATTTGTTAAGTAAATGAAAATAAAATGTGAAGGGTAATTTTATCGAGTATAACATCATACAATACATCATCACCCTGTAACTGTCCACTGCTGAGCGAAGGCTTCTTCTCATACGCAGAAGGTTAAGCATGCGAGTCGATTGATGTTCAAAATCGACTTGTTTGCTCAAAGCAAATTGGTGATTTCTAACTTGTTATTAGAAATTATAGGCCCAGGTTTCCTCACGCTTCTCATGCAGGAGAAGCGGACATCTTAAACTCTGGGCCACCATGAAATAATTTTACTATAGAGTATTATTGTATTACAAAATACAAGCTAGTTATCAATAGGTTTCTCGCTGTGTCTTGGAAACAGTTGAGCTATTCTCTATTAATTCACTTGTGTAAGACGTATTATTAACTTAATAATGTCTTCTTAAGCGCTGAATCGTTTCAAGGAATTCCTGATTAGGTTTAAAGTGGCTATTCATTAAATTCACATTTGGTTTTGATCGTAAAAACAAATTATTGTTTTTCATATTTGGTAAATTCGATTTTTGGTTTTAGTATTATTATTTTGATAACTACTTAGACGAGTTGATTGTTACGATTTTATCTAACGTCTGAAGCATACGTTCTAAAATTTACATATGCACTTGTTATCTAGAATAAATAGAATATTATCGTTTTGCCAATAATTCACACTAGCTTTTGCCTGCGACTTTGTTCGCGTGGAGTAGTGATTTGAGACTTCCTGCAGAATTGAGGTTTATAAACTATCCTATGGGTAACAGGTAAAAGGTTCAGTAATTAAGGCGTAAAGAAAATTCAGACAGACAGTCTGTTACTTTCGCATTTATGATATTAGTTTGGATTATACTACACAATTTAAATTTATTTGTGTTATTTTCGGATATAAGAGTGGTTTGTAATAGTTTATTGCAGGACAGTTCATTAGTTTCAATAAATAGAAACGAATAAAAAATACCTTGACAAAATAAGGGTAAATACACTCCTACATTAACATTAAAAATAAACATTTATTGTGAATTTAATTTTCAAAAGAGATCTCAAGCTTGAAGCGTATTCTCTAATCAAAATTACTTTCCAATTCTTTTTATACAACGTTCTCGTATCTTGGTGACATCGTAAAGTTAAAATGAAACAGCGAAGAATGTAATAACGACAAAAGAAAGTAAATATCTAATAAAGAGCAATAAAAATAGAATCTTGGAGATCGCTGATTGATTTGGGTTTGGTTTTTTTATACTGGATCGTACCGGATTTGACAAAATGGCGTCAGTTTCTCTCAGGCGTCGTGTCAGGGTCACAGAGTGACGGTTACATTTTTCTAGCAAAAAATCTTATTGTGTTCTAGATTTCTAGCTCTCGCGATTGTTGGCTGACAAAAAAATACATACAATAGTCTGTTATTTAACGCAGTCATTAGCATAGAATTACCATTATTATTACAATATACATATATATTTTTATGTAATAGGTCGGCAAACGAGCAAACGGGTTACCTGATGGTAAGCAATCAGCGCCGCCCATAGACACCCGCAACGGAGGAGTTACGAGTGCGTTGCCGACCTTTTAGGGATTAGGGATTTGGAGATTTAGGGATTGAGGAGGGATTGGGGCAGGAGAACGATTTGGCCTCCGGTAACCTCACTCACACGGCGAAACACAACGCTGTGGTTGTTTCACGCCGGTTTTCTGTGAGGCCGTGGTATCACTCCGGTCGAGCCGACCCATTCGTGCCGAAGCATGGCTCTCCCACACTTGGAAATGACTCCAGAGATATGTCAAACAAATTCAAGTGAAACTCTTCTCTGAAGCAATTACTATTGTAAGAAATCTACAACAAAGCTTAACGACTAACAATTTAAACATGAAAAGCAACAAAATATTCAACTAGGTAAATAGAAAGTCGATTCTGTTTGAAAAATGCGAGGTCTTATCTAGATTTTTTCTAATGACCGCAGATGCGGTTGACCATGGCGGCAACTCTTAGAAAGCGCATTGTTGTGCCTTTTAGAAATAAACAAGAATGACTAAGACAGCGATATCTGACCAACCAAATGTAAAATGATCATAAAATGTCAACTTGCGACGATTTTTAGTTATCAAAGAATGTTTAAGAATAGAAGAAACAAAAAATAAGCTTTATTTTTATAATAAAATTATGTTTAAAACAGAAGCAAAGCTAAGTTAAAATATAAAATATATTTTTAATATAGTAGCAAGAAAACAATAATATTTAAAAATGCAAAACATATAAATTATTTAAGAATTCTTATTACAAAATCTGCCTATTGCGTTTTTATTTCTCGAAGGGAAAAAGTAAAACTATCTATTACACCGCATAGAGTTTACACTACTACTTACTGGAAATTTCTTTTCACAACAACTTTCTATATAATAAAGTTTCAGAAATATAGTTCAGTCTCTTATAAAAAGACCACCTCTCAATCCAAAATCCAAAGATTTTTCTCAAAAACAAAATGAAAATAAAGCAAGTGTCGTAGTTGGGGCCTCTGGAAAATGTTCAAAAGGTATCAGGAAGCCAGCTATACGTCTTACTGAGAGACAAGACCGGTAATGTAGGTCGTATATCTCAACGAATCTCGACGACTATTGCCGAAAATAATATGCCCTCTTTGAAAAAAGATTGTGGACACCGCCAAAGCTATAACAAAGATTTTCCAATGTAAAGAATCTACGTCCGAATAATAAACTCCATAATTTATTTTGTTTATAATATTTTTTTTATTTACATAAAAGTGAGTGCTAAAATAAATGCATACATTTTTTTGCATATTATTTGGCAACTGGTTGCAGTAAAACGTGTTGCAGTCTCGCACTCATTAATTCTTTGGTTGATCTTAAAATTATTGTTCCGGGTTTTGGGTATGATGTTTATGTCAACGCAACCACAACTCAGAAAAAATACTGATTCTGGGTCAACGTTTAAAATATAATAAATGAGTATCAAAAATCACTATTAGTATAAATTTATATACAATATGTTATTTCGTCACGGAATTTAATATATCGTCAAATGACTTCTTCCGCCATCGGTCCATAATGAGTGTCAAACTGTCAATGACTAAAAACCACCATGTTCCTTTTCCTATTTCGTGCCGGAGCCAGGGTACTTTATTGTGCTTGCATCCGCTGCGTCAGCTGAAGATTGGCCTCATAAGGCCCCATCAGTGGTGGCCTTGTTAGGCCCCTTCTGTGGTGGTCTAATGGTTCTTAGAGGCGAGCGCGGGGCGCGATGTACCGTATGCTCGGGTCTAGTTCTAGTCGGGACGGATCAGATATCAAAGCTTATTTAAAATGCTACTAATGAAATATAATCATTTTTTGCAATTCAAATGATTGTGTGTGACTAAGTTTCAAACAGTCAAAGCGATACGATGCGATGCAATTTTATTTGTTGTTATTGTACTTGTTTTAATTTTTGTAAAATTAAAACAATTACATTCTTTTTCTCATTTCAATTAATAGTATTGATTAACTTTCAGAAGTGGGTTTTCTATAAATTTGAATTAAGTTCGTTATGTTTATTTTATGAGAAAGCTCTGTAAAAGAACACCCCATGGTAAGCAATTTGTGCCACTCACAGCCACTCGCAACAGATAAGGAGATACCATTGCGTTGTCAGCCTCCTGTGCTTTGTTACGGATTTAAGGATACGGGGTTTGGGCACCAAGGAATCGCGGCCCAACGTAACTGTTGTTTCACTTCGGAATTCTGTGGGGTCGTGGTATGACTCCGTTCCATTTCCATTCGTACCGAAGCATATCTCTAGATCCCACATTCCCAGAAAGACAACACAATCAATATTTATTTTATTAACAATGTATTTATAGCATTGAAGTGGAATGCTTTCTTAATGCATCTAAAGAGCGATTGTCCTTACTTCCTAAGTTATTTGTGCTTAGGTAAACGGTTTTGTGTGAAAATTTTAACTGCCTAATATAACTTGAAACTTCTGTTATAAAATACATGCTTATTCTTCGTCGTATGTCATTAGCATCAGTCAATAAATGCCCACTGCTGGGAAAAGACCTCTTCTTACAAGGAAAAGGTTTGAGCATTGATCACCATGCTTGGCGATTTCAGAGGAATAATTAGGAATTATATGAACATGTTTCCTTACGATGTTTTCCTTCGCTATATGCCAGTGGTATCTAAATAATCATAGAAAACTCAGAAAAAGTCACATTGGTATTTACCTGGTTTCGAATCCTTAACCTAAGGGCCACCACGACTATAATAATATTACTGAACTAGGTATTTCACTTTAAGAAGCATTTCATTTGACGATCATGCATCACGATTGATGAAACGAAAGAGGTAGGTAAACATTATGTCATTGTATTTTACTATTAATAATTAACACTGCCATTGGGTTAGGCAGAGACGTATAAACTATTGTCAGAATTACCCAATGGCATTTTTTTTTTACAAAACTAAGACCCACACTAGGATTTTCAATATAGAATTGCACATACACTTCACACTCGCACCCGGAACAACAATTTGTGGATCACACAAAGAGCTGTTCCGTGCGGGCGTTCCTATTATTTCAGGACGAGAATATATTTTGTTAAACTGATAATTTTAATATTATATTGTTCGATTTAAATGATATGAATCGAACTAATTAATCTCATTTATGTTTTGAATAAAAGGAAACAAAGCATGACATTCTTATTTAGAATGTCTATTGTTACACACGGTGATATTTGCAAAACAATAATACACGTAAATATGTTCCCTTTAAACACTTAGCAGGATTCTTAAAATACAAGACGTGTTTATCGATTCTTGATAAAAATGAACATAGGTATTTTACATATTTTCAACAGCACCGGTTGCGGGGTGAGCTCAATGAGGTCAAAGTCAAAGTCAAAATAATTTATTTCAAATAGGCTTCTACAGGCACTTTTGAACGTCAAAGGCACCGCGACCTCGGCCTAGAGAAAAAGGAATGGGGGGTTTTAGTCGGTAAGAGTCTGACACTACCTCTCGCTTCACCCTGGGCGGGAGAACCGGAGAAGCTATTTAATGATTTTCACACTAAAAGCTGTGTCAAATCACTAGCGGATTGGTGGCTTAGGATTTCATAAGATAATTAATGACCAATATAAAATAAAGTTTATGCTAATATAGTATTCTAAGCGTGCGCTCTCCGTCCTTAGTTTCAAAAACAGTTTGTCAAAATCTGAAAAAAAGTTTTATGCAAAATGTATAAAGATTTTAATTTTCTATAATAACTATCATTGTTAATCATGGGCACACCAAAGGAGTAACAAGTGCGTTGTCAGCCTTTTGTAAGGTGTTAGGCATTTAAGAATAGAGGATAATATATTATCGCGATTGGGGATGGGGTCAGGTTTAGGCCTCCAGCAAACTCATTTACACAAAGACAAAACAAAGAGATAATGGCGTTTGCCTGTCTGTTAAAAATTATTAAAACAACTTTCTTAATCATTTCAACTACCTACTAAAATCTATTTGATATCATCATCATAACGTGTTTAGTTATGAATATTAGAGAAGTAGAACTGGTTTTGAAATATTATAAATCATTTTGACTTATGATAAGCTAAAAAATATTTTTTACCGAGAAGAGATTTACGATATTATTGATATCTATTGAGTGTAAGATACGTAATCAAACAAATAACATTTGTTCTCTCTTAAAATCAAACATTCCGTTGAGCATCGTGCTTATAACTTTAAGAACTTAGAACTCCCTCATAGTCAAAAATTATGATTATTATATTATTTTAAAACATCAAAACCAAAATAGAAATATTAATTTTGAAATAAGCCCACTACTCTTTTTTTATGATATGGCAATCGGCGCCACCTTAGGACACCCGCAACACCAAAGAAGTTACGAGTGCGTTGCCAACCTTTTGGGGATAGGGGTTGCGGATATAAGGATCTGGAAGGTATAGGGAAAGGGGAGGGATTAGGTCTCCGGAAACCTCACTTACAAGGCGAAAGACAACGCTGTGGTTGTTTCACGCCGGTATTCTGTGAGGCAGTGGTATCACTCCGGTCGAGCCGACCCATTCGTGCCGAAGCATGGCTCTCCCACATTTCTCGCAGCAAAACTGCCCTAAATCTCCCAACAACATGACTTGCAAGAGGGAGTGTCAGACTCTTACTGACTAAAAAGAACTCTGTTTCTTCTCTTCGGCACCAGGCCAAGGTCGCAGTACATTATTGCGTTTGACCCTCGAACCCGTCTGTATTGATATAGGAACATGCTCACTAGTATACATTATGCTTACTAGTAATCCTTTTAAAAATAAGAACACGAATTGTAATTTTTCTGTAACAGCCTGTATCTGTGTACAAGTAAGTAAGTATACCTACGCATAATATAGAATCCATAGAACATCCAGTGTAAAAAACTGTCTATTAAGAACATGTTAAATAAATTGAATTTTAAACTTTGATATTTTTTTATCTAATAGAATCAAATTGAAATAACGGATATAGTCTTACATATTTTTTTAATTATATGGTTGATATGGTTTTTATACTCGCATTATGATTTGAAAATATCATGTTTCTTATATTTAGGTACCTACATACATATACCACGTTACCATAACAAAAGAAACTATATCTAATATAATATATTAGGTAATGTTAATCTTATTGTATAAAACATGATTTGAAAAACGTTTTGATTTGGATTCTTGTTTCAAAGAAACTGCAATTCGTCATTTAAAATATTTATTTGTCATATTTTTGTGTCACAATGTCAATCAGAATGTCATATTGTGTTTGTGAAGTTGTAATAATGTTTGAAAACGGACACACACACAACGCAGGTATTTGTATTGTGAGGGTGATGAAAGAAATATTTTTCGAAGAGATACATAACTGCCGAAAAAGACTAAAAATTTTATTTACCAAACATATCTTTTGAATTAAAATTATTAGCAGTAAATTTTGGTGGGACTGTTAATAACCGACAAATAATAGAATATCAGTCTAATTAAATTTATTACTTTACGCAATATTCTAGATATTGCTTTAGAAACAAGTATCCTGTTGAATGAAGTCAATAAAATATCGTTTTCAAGTACAACATTATTTTACGAAACGAATTAGGTTCCTAATAATACTATTCTGGCGATGGATGGGCCACGAAAGTGCTCGATTGGAGACCGCGGAATAACGTCATTATCAGAGTCGCCGGCAGCCATTGGGTACAAGGGGCGAGTCTGTTGTCGTTCATGGTAAATCACCGAGGAGTTGACGTCAACTGGCTGATGATTATGATGATATATGTATTGTTCTCAACACAGGGATTTTCTCTTATCTCATTAGTATATTTCAAAAATTACAAATTCATAATGTAAAACTATATGATAGAACAAAGTCAAAGTTTTTTTTGTGTGATATGTCGGCAAACGAGCAGGCAGATTACCTGATGGTGAGCAATCAGCGTCATCCATGGACACCCGCAACAGGAGTAACGAATGCGTTGCCGACCTTTTGGGGTTTAGGGAGTTGGAGATTTAAGGATGGAGGGGGGGGGGAGAAGGGGATTGTTGGGCTTCCGGCAACCTCACTCAGATGGTGAAACACAACACTGTGGTCGTTTCACGCCGGTTTTCTGTGAGGCCATGATATCACTCTGACTAAACAAAAGGATGTAAACTTTTGTTAAAATGATAAAAAAAAATTGTATGATGCCACAATTAAGTATTCATTTATTCTAAGAATTTGAGTAACTACTACTGGTATATTTCGAGTATCTATTAGTCCAGTGGAGCCGAACCAACATACTGCCAGGCCTAAGCCGAATTAAAAAGTTATTTCTAAGTCCACGATCAAATTACCTACTGCGTCAACCTTGCAGTCATTGAACCTAAACAATACTATAAATTATGTCCAAACTTAGCATTAAAAAACTAATTAAGTTTGAAAATTATAAGTCGACATCTATTTATTACCATATTTCTCCAAGATCACCAGCTCAATGAAGCTTCTTGAACATTTTACGAAACTAATTAAACCTTGCCACTTAAAATTGTTCCACGTTGATTCAAGAAATTCCAATTTGAAAACCGCAACTTGTTAAGAGACGGGGTGGGAATTAATTAGGAGCCATTTTGTTAAAATTCGTCTGTCGAATCGTTTGAGGAGTCCGTCGTCCGCTGTTTTATTGTAGCGGGAAATTAGTGGGCTACTTTCTGTGTATGTAAATTGTTTATTTGTTGGTTGCTTATATTGTTCTTTTTTGTCTTCTATGCTTTCCTTCGTGTTGACAAAGACAGTTTTCCTTTGTTTTTTCAGTATTCAATACCGTCTTTGTATGGTTTTTATTGGCCAGAGAAGGAGAAGAAGATGACAAATTCCGTATAAAAAAACTACTTAATTATTTATTTTCAAAAATAAACTCTTACTTACGAAAATTACCTGAGAAAATCTGTACTAGTTTCAAGTCATAACGGGAGCTCTTATTAATAAACAGCGTGCGCGTCGCGCTTACGTCGCGTAGCCGATTGACTCGCTTTTCTTAGATAATCCACGTAAGTAAGTTTATTTTTATTTTTATTAAAGTGTGTCTCACAATAGTTACCTACTATTCAAAAACAATAAGTAGGTATTTTTTGCATGTCAATCTTACTTAGGTTAGAAGTTATATAACTAATGATGAGATAAAAATAATTGAATAACATTTTAAAAATAACATGGTCGTGTTCGTTCGTTTCAGTTATTTTTGTTCAACCTTCGCAGGGTCAATGGTACCTTAACCACATTAATTTGTTTGTTTTTATTTTAAGCTCTCTATTTTTAGAAGGCTGTTCAAAAGAACAATCTCAAAATGTTTATAAATAGAACTGTCAGAGAGTTAATAACTTTCAAACTTTACATTTTTATTGCGTTTGTGATTCACTATAGGAAAAATGTAACAGATGCACCCAAGCAACTGAATCTGAAACCTTTATAGCTCATCAATCTTACTAGCACTTGAATTATAAGGCTAATATATCGTCTCTTAGACATAACCTAAAACATCAAGGTCAAATTTCGTTTGCATCACCTCAATCAAAAATATCGACATAATCAAGAATTCCAGCTCATTTTAATAGTTCAGCTAGGTGCAGGTGCATTATGATCCGTTATTTCAAATTCTATTTTTAAATAAATAATAGATTCAAACAAAAAACATCAAATTTTGGTGCAAATTAAGAACGTCAAAGAATGTCAATGAACCTAATATTTTTATGACAGAGTTATTTTTAAAACTCGATATTACGGAATTTTTATATATTTAATATGCAATAAGTCGAATCATATTATACAAACTCATCCTTTAGACAAGTCAAAAAGATTTTTTAGATTCAAAATACTGCTTACATGTAGCAATTAGATGATCAAGAACTTAGTAAGTAGTACTAGGAGATTTTTTCCGGCCAGTACCCAATCACGATAGGATGCGCTGTAGTCGTTATAATATTATCTACTAGCAGCCCGCCCATGCTTCGCACGGGTATCCAACCGAAATGGCTATTAAACGCTCTTCCTTTCTAAAATTTTCTTGTATTGCAACCTTCTCCTGACAATAACAAATACAACAAAAAAAGAATTGGCCAAATTGGTCCAGGCGTTGTTGAGTTATGCGCTTACAACACATTTTGCGATCCATTTTTATATATAAGATTATAAATTATTATCTATTTCAATTTTATAATTGTACTCATAGAAACTTTTCACAGCTGTAATAGAATTAACATAATAATTAGTTTTTACGTTATATATGAGCCATGTTTCGGCTCGAGTGATACCACGACCTCACAGAAAACCAGCGTGAAGCAACACCTATGTTGTGTTTCGCCGTGTCACCCCTCCATCCCCAATCCAAATCCCCTATTTTTAACCTTCATTGAATCCATAAGAGGCAACAGATGAGGATTGTAGAGGGATAGAGGGAAGGGAAGGATAGGGCCTCCGGTAACCTCACTTACTTCGACCTAATGACTCCACCACAGCTCTACGCAGGTATTAATTTGAGCGGATCATAATATTATATTATATAAAAAAACTGGTTCTAACAACAAGAAACATAATAAAAGTAATAATAATCATCTAATTTGGTGCATTCGGTTCAAACACATTACATAATTATGAGCGTACAAAAGATCAGATGTTTTTATTTTTTATTTATAAACTCTCAAGAAAACTTTAGAATGATCTTTCGGTGGCGGTATTCCCGAACCGATACGACCTTCAACGAGCGTATTCCTTCTTAAAAGGCCGGCAACGCACCTGTGACTCCTCTGGTATTGCGGTTGTCCATGGGCGGCGCCGATCGCTTACCATCAGGTGATCCGTCTGCTCGTTTGCTTCCTATTCCATAAAAACACCGACGTAAAGCAAAACTTGCGCAGTTTCGCCGTTTGAGATTTCTGTATGAATAATCCCTATGTCATGCCCCTTTATCCTCTTTTCCGAAATCCCTAAACGCACTTGCACCTTTTTGACGATCTTACATGTGGCAGTGGATGGCGTTGATTGCATACGATCAGTTGATCCGCTAACTGGTTTGAAACTCTTTCCCACACAAAAAAACATGTACTAGAAAGAAAGAAAGAAAGAAATAATTTTATTTGCACAACCTGGACACAGATACAAAAGTAGATAAAAAAAAAACCAGTTAATAATTAATCAAAACAAAAATAATAATAAAAAAAAAACAGTGATGTGTGTCTCAGCGTTGGAAAAATAGGCCCAGTTCAGCTTCGATGCCAGGCGGTTATTGCCTGGCGCTGGTTTTCAACTGGACCTTGTATTTGAATACTATAATATTATACGATGCTCAACATGTATCGTAAAAACCAAACTGACTTAAATACAATCACGTGTTTGATTCAAGTTCACGACCATCCAAAACGTATGTGGATCAATTTTACTAGAACTATTATGTATTTTTCGTTAATTAATATTTATTTATTCACAAAACCAAGTAGGTTTCTACCCGACAATTTATTCAAAAACGTGATAAACATAAAATGACTTGTTGGAAATGGTTAAAAACTATTCCGTTCTTCTAATTTTGTGTAAAAAATAACCTACATTCAATACAATAATATTCTCACAAATAGTAAGTAGTAGTATAGTAAGGCTCTAGTTTGTTTGTTTGCTTGAACGCGCTAATCTACCGAATTACTGGTTTGCATTGAACAATTAATTGGCTGTAAACATCATGCTCCAATTGGAGCCGAACAGCAGATTATCCCAGGCGGGAATAGCTAGAAAATGATCTAGGAGGTTTGTTACTGTAAAATATTTTTTAAGTCTTAAGTACTTAAAATGAAAAACTTTTAGGTGTGGGAGAGCCATGCTTTGGCACGGATGGGTCGGCTCAACCGAAGTGATACCACGGCCTCATAGAAAACTGACGTGAAACAACCACAGCGTTGTGTTTCGCCGAGTGAGTGAAGTTACCGGAGGCCGAATTCTTCCCCTCCCTAATCTCAAAATCTCGAAATCCCTAATCCTGTAAAGGTCGGCAAAGTTGCGTGTGTCCTTGTGCGACTCTGATTGCTTACCATCAGGTAATCCGTCAGCTCATTTGGCGACTTACCCTATAATAAAATAAATAAAGTTATTATGTGGAAGTGTTATAGCATGTAGATACATGCGATATCGTTTTTTTTTTTGTTTTCGTCTAGTCAATATTATTTTTGTCTTGAACTAATTTCATCTCGTAATTTTGTGTATAAAATAGTTTCTTTCCGGTTTTCCTGATATCGGAAATTTACAGAAATTTTTTTCTTCATCGTCCTACGCTTTCTAAGGTATGTATATCTACAAACCAGCGACCAATTTAAACTTTCTAAAGCATGGTAAATAAATTAATATTAAAAAAAAAAAATCTTATTTTATATAAATAAGTTCTTATTTCCTGTTCCGATAGTTTGTGTATTAAGAAAAAAAAAGCATCAACATTGTGTGACATTTTACTTACTGACGAAATTGTTTTGATATTCGGCGCTCGCTTAGTCAGTTCCTGACGTCAATCCTGAGGCTATTTGACTCAAAAATAATATGGCAATCTATAGTAAAACCTGATTTTAAGCAGACTAGTTTTTAAGTGACCTTGGTTGGATAGAGAAAAAGCTAATGCCGACTTACACTCTCCACTCAATATTATTATTAAGGTTAGATATAATTATGCGATTTTACAATAAGAAATAAAGGTGAAGAGACTGTCCTATGTAAAAGGTCAAAAATCGAAGGTCACCATCGTTGATGATCTGGCTATCCAATTGGCCCATGTTCAGTAGTAGACGTCTTTTAAATGATATAGGTAATGATAATCAACGATGAACTTAATAAAAAAGAGAGGGTGATAGAAACCTGGCAATTAACTAATGTGTATTATTCCGAGTAATATGCGCTTTCAGTGTTATCTATGAAAACTTATGAAGGAGGGGCAGGAATTGGCTTCCCTCAACCTGGATGGAATGAGAGGGACTGTCAGACTCTTACTGACTAAAAATCAATTGACTCGCAACCTCTGACTCAACATGATCGTTATCTGTAGTGATCGGTTGTGTCTTGTTTGCCGCCCGCAGACCCTAAGTTATCTAATATCTCCGAAACCTGGACTTCTATTTCTAACTTTAGGCTTAAAATCTCAGGCCGCCTTGAACAAGCTTGGTGATTGATGCTTATTCCATTTTCGATGGCTGATGATTATCAATAAAAATAAGAACTTATACAAGTATATTTGAAAGCAAATTGGCAAGCATCATAACTTTGTTACTCGATAAATTCTCTACAAGAGTGTTTATTTTTTTATTACGACTACAATTATTTCTTTGAAAGAGGAAAAAATCTTCTGGATGTATTATCAGTTGCATTTTGTTTGTGATTGTTGACATTGATTACAAAATCAAATGACATTCTAAAGATTCTTTCAGCGGCTTCCGATATTTAAAAGCCAGTAATTAAAATATTAACTGCTATTAACTATTGATTTTTATCATAGCAATTTACTTCAAGGAGTCTATTATACTGGTTATTATTGTTTTTTTCCTCCTAAAGGTTTTTATTATCAATTTTGCAAAAATAGAAATCTATATTTTGCAATAATTGATTTGCTAATATATGTCACATTTATTAAATGAAGAATGTCATCTTGATATAAAAATAACATTAGAATTGCATTTTGATCGGTCGCCAGTCTCAACTGCGCATGTATTGTTTTTGATAAATAGTTTGTAAATAGAACAAAAAAATAACGTTTTTTTACACTTTATTAAAAGTCTAATCTTTAATTAGGAGTGGTTTCATTTGCTGTTTTTTTCGTGTAGCATACTTCTTTATTGAGAAAGACTCGCATTTTTATGAGGGGGTTAATCAAACATTGACTTTTGCCGCCCTGAGCGTCCTCGTGTCTGACTATTACTGACTAAAAAACACCCCGTTACTTATCATAATCATCACAAGCTCTACTACTATACAGGGTGTAAGGGACAGCCCTCCACAAATTAACAGGGTGCATTCAGCTCCTTATTCTGAATCATATTCCAGTGAAAATTCTTACAAGAAAATTTTAATTTTTTTTTTCGTTTTTTCTGTTCCTACACCTCTATTTCAATGTATAATTACATTATATGTATGAAGAATAACATTAATGTAAATAACACAGCTAAAACAAAAAAATACGCAATGGTTGTGTGAATTCTCTAAAGAACTACGCATGAAATCAGCTGTTCAATTTCTACCTAGCGCGAGTCGTTTGAACTCACCGTACCGCGGTCACGGCGCAGCGGCTCGGCGCCCCACCGCGCCGATCGCCGCGCCGTAGGTATACCTACGATCCCGTCCAACGTACAGAACAGTACAGAATAGCTGCGTCGCTTTCTGTCGATTGAACCAGTGTTGCCAACTTTTAACTTTTGTTACCTCTTCTACATTTCTCTCTTTCTACCTTTGTAAACGAAAATGTTAGAACTATCGAAATTTATCTAAAACTTGAGAACTCCTTTGCATTCATAATCACATTGATGAGATTTTCATTAGTCAATTAATGAAAATCTTGTCGCACACATAAATTGAACAAAAAATAAATAAAGATTAGTCTAGTTTTAATTTTAAAGCATTTACAAATACTACCTAATTTATTAATTGATTGTTCTTTTTAAGCGATTACTGGCTAGTTTTTAAACTACTTACAGATTTACATGGCTTCACAATAGCCATGAATTGATAGTCGAGCCAGAAATTAAACACAATCTCCCTGGAATGGAAGCACAGCTTTCTATCACATTGCACTTTAATTATTATAAATTAACTAAACAATGAAATTAGAATTAAATTGATTTAATCAATTCATTTCTCTACAAAAAATAAAAGAATGATAAATTACGACCATGCATAATTTTTTATTTTTTACCCCGAAATTTTGTAATTTTCGTGTAATTGGCAACAACAGATTTATGTTTGTGTGTGTCTCATCACATGCAGTCGCCATTGTGCCTTGCTGCGATGTTACTGTTTGTGTACCGCGAGCGTGTGTCGGTACGGATCGCTCGCGCATTCGGCTTAAAAGTTTTGTTATAAGTAGTGTTGTTAAGTTTTATTAGTTATGTAGTGTGTGAAGTGTAGTGAAGTTTTGTTGTAGAAATTGTGCGAAATTACCACCTAGGTACGTTTAGCGCGCGTGATTATGGGGAGATGATAATGTGTTGTAGTAGTGTAGGTATCCTGACCGTCGGCATCCATCAGACTACAGGATAATTACTGGTGACTATCAACGCTTGCTAGAAAACCAGCCCATTGTTCCCAGACAAAAAGGCGCCGGAAGACCAATACCTACGTGGATTTTGGAATTGGTTCGCTAACGTAACGAGACGCTACCACTTACCAGTGCTTTCCTATTTAAACGTAGTTTAGGTAGGTTTGGACCGCAACCGTGGCCAGCACGATCCCCAGACCTAACCCATTTGGACCCCTTTTTGTGGGGTTACGTAAAAGAAAAAGTGTTTGTGAGTGCGTGTGCAAGTGAGTACGAAATGCGAGACCGCATCACAAATGCTTTCCAGAGCCGAAAACCGGAGCGATTCTAAGGTACCTACGCATTTTTCTTTTTTTATCATTTATCAGTTACCATGTTATGATTGTTAGATTTTCTTTTGTTAGTAATGCGGCTATCTTTTAAATAATAATTTATTGTTATTAAAACGTGGCTCGAGCGCGATTATTAAATTGTCTTTTGTAAGTAATGCGGCTATCTTGTAAATAATAATTTATTGTTATTAAAACGTGGCGCGAGCGCGACCGTTTGTCCGAAAGGTAAGGTCGCGGCGCTGCCCATAGTGTAAAGTAATAATACTAAAAGCGCTGCCGTTCGCTGCGTGCGTTTGCGGTGGTAGCGATACATTGCGTGTAAGGTAATGAAACAAATCGGTTTAATTGGATTCCCATAACGATATGCTGAATCCACCCTATCAGTTTGCGGAAGGCTGTCCCTTACACCCTGTATTATACAGGTTTTAAGCCATCAATCGATAACATGCTACGATGTACTCACTGACTAGTACTACTATTCCAACTTCCGATGTTGCTAGTCAAATGATATGGCACATTGTTAGACGCAACTGAGATCAAAAGCGGTATCAATGGATAGAAGCAATTATATTTTCGAAGACGAAGTGTGGACGCTCAGGTGAGCACTAGCCACTATGATGACTTGTTTTCACGACTTCTGCACAATACTAAACTAAACTTACTTAACGCATAGTTATTAAGTTTACCTGTAATACTTAGCTACTACTTTTGAATGGTTGCAAATGCCAAAAAGACATTTCTTTTCTATTATGATTTTTTTTTTAATATTTTTTAAAGCTTTATTAGCTGCAGCGTTATTTATATAAATATGGTCATTACTGATAAACGCCATCAGCAATTTGGTTTAAAAGCAGTCAGGTGAAAAAATTTACAGTATGCTGCAAAGATCAACGTACGCGATTACATTCAGTTGAGGTCAATAACCACTAGCTGAAGGTAATACGTATTTAACCATCAATCAATTAACAGTTCTATAAAGTTGCATTATACCTACAATATTTGAAGGTCAAATACGTGTCTTAATACATATTTATTTCACACGCACAATGCGAGCGCCTACTCAAGACAGATTAAACTTATAATTAGCAATTATAAGTCCGGGAACCTAGGCAATCACAATGTTTTCCTTCACTTTTGGTCTCGTGTGTTTAAATGCCCCTAATAGGAAAGTACACAAATCTCGAAAAAAGACACACATTGGTACTTTCAGAGTTTCGAAACCGTTACCCTAGGCTAAAGAACCGATAGCCGGCTTAACCTCCTCTATCACTTATGAGGCACCGGAGCCTCAGCCTAGAGCAGGAGAAGGAACGGGGGAATTTAGTCAGTAAGAGTATGACACTTCCTCTCGCCTCATCCTGGGCGGCAGAAGTCATTTGATGATTTTCCCCTCACAAAAAAGGCTTAGGAAGGCGAGAGCGTTAACCTGCTACTTCTTGCCACAGACTAAATATTTAAGTATAAATTAAAAAGAGATCAAATGTCATGATCAATAATAATAAATATTGTGACACTTTAAAAATATGTATATTTTTTGAACTCTTCGACTCTTGTTTTTAATATATTATTCGCATAATGACTATTGCTGTTTTAGTTTCAATTAATTATTAGTGTCTCGAACAAAATATTTTTACTTGTTATAATAATTATGTTTATTTGTATCGATTCGTAGTAACTTTGAATTAAATTCTAAAGCGTCTGCTTTGCATGCATGAGGCTGCGAGGTCTAAGCTAGCCAAGTACTAATGTGACTTTTTCCGAGTTCATTAGCCTCTAAGTGCCCACTGCTAAGCAAAGGCCTCTGCTCACACGGAGAGGGTTTGAGCATTAATCACCGCGCTTCCTCAAGGCGGATCGACTTCAAACTTATAATTAGAAATTTTAAGATCAGATTTCCTCGCGATGTTTTTTTTTTCTTTACCGTATGTCAGTGGTGTCTTAATAATCATAGAAAGTACACACAACCCGGAAAAAATCACCTTGGTTCTTGCCAAGTTTCGAATCCGCACCCTTATGCCTGAGAAGCGGGCGCCTTAAACTCCGAACCACCATGACGTTTTTCGAGTTATATAAATATTTTTTAATTATCTTGACACTGACATACGGAAAGTGACATAAAGTTAACCTATAATATTTTATTTATTATGCATGTTTGAATTCGCCGATCCGCTTTGAACAAGTGTTGTTGTTATCTAGTGCTCACACTTTCTGCGTACAAACAAGACTTTGCACACCATAAATTATAATATGATATTTTTCATGTGATCTTTAGCAGTTTCTTGTTTTTTTTAATATAACACAATCATAACTCGGTAGATTTTTAGTAAATACAAAGCTCAAGACTGGCTTAATCTAGAAAATATGAAAGTCATTAAACCAACTTAAATCTCAGTATCTACTTCTAAACAAGTCTAAGCACTATCTCAAAACAAACAAGTACAAACAAGAGAGAAATATCAAAAGTAAACGTGAGTCGGTATCATGGCGCGAACAGACAGATTCTCTGTCACGTACTCTGTATATATCGGCTGAAATCGCGATGGCTTTGCCGAATATCGCATATTCCTACGGTTGCCGCGAAACTGCCAAATTGCATATCGATATGGATACGGTACACAGAGATCTCGTTTAACTGGATGTGATTAAAATTATAGTGTTTTTGTTTTACATTTTTAATATAAAATAATAAGTTTGTAATTTCCAGACATAGCAAAGCTGAAAGCATTATTAACTAGTATATTTTCTTTTCAATAAAATACACTTAAATATCAAATAATGATAAAGTTGTAGCACAACTCTGTGCATTTAAAATACACTTCTACCTGTAAATTTTTATTATTTAAAGAACGTGTTTTGATAGATAGTATTTTTTTTTGATAGGATTACTATTAATAAAGTAAGCTCTTTTAATCTGTTCCGTTGGAAAGGTGTTTAAGAAAAACCAATAACCCGTCGTTTTCGATTGAATTAATCAAGGTAGAATAAGGTTTAATTAATTCCAAATTATGTACACGAAGAATGACAAATTTTAACGCGTTCTATACGAATCATAAATATTGTCAATATTTCACTTAAGTGATTATTTTATATTCCCTTTGTTAAAAAATTAATAATTCTTAGAAACTAAAACGACGCGGAAATCAAACAGCTGTCCTCGAGAACAGGAAAGAGAATCTATTAATTAAAGGCCCTGATAGTATATCAGAACATTATACCAAAAATATACAGGTGATTAAGTCAAAAAAAAAAACAAATATTTCTTTTATATATTGCGGAAGTCAATCTTGGAAGAAATAAACATCGGAGAGTTGAGAAGACAGTAAAGATTAGTTTACAAGGCACAGATCATGGTTAAACTTCGAGCATTATACATTTTTCTGAGTTGCCACTAATCGAAGACTTACAGAAGATCTGGATTAAAAAATAAAAGTAAAAGAACCAAGAGGTCCAAATGCTAATTAATGATAAAAGAGGCCTTTTAGTTGCAGTGGAATAAGTATTTCGTATGCCTAAAAGAAAACAGGTTTAACTCCAAAGAAAGAAAGAAATCTGAATTATAAAAAAAGGTTATAATAAAACGGTTCAATTTTGAAATATAATCATTTATGACTTATTTTATATAAGCTTTGCTGTTTTTTTTTAATATTCGATTGTAATGTGTAGGTTGATGGCGATGACGATGATAAGAGCCGCATCTAGAAATTATAAATCTATGTGTCTGTTGAATGCATTCGGATGTGACTACCGTTGGCAGCGGTGGGTTTTATTAATTTTTCCACACGTAACGAGGTGCAAACTGTACGCCACTGCGACTCTCGCGACGGATTTATGGCGCAAATTATTTTTTATTCGAAGTGAATAAGTGCCGGTATATCGATATGAAGTTCGCAATTAAATCAATCGATTTTCCGATTATTATTTTTATTATTCACTTGATTTATTTTGATATGCAATATTTTTTTCGATATTTAAAAGTTTTCTTTGTCAATATAAATTATAATATTTCACCTATATTAAGCCTCCATGTTACCTTTGCTTATTTAAAATAGATTTGGTACTGGAGAGACTTGGAGCTAATTTCTGGTAAGGAAATCTCGCAAAATTAATGAAGCAACGAAACAGAATGAAACCCATTGATCCATTTCTAAAATCCCCAAAAATCTCACACCAGAAAAATAACAATAAAATTTACCATATTCAATAACCAACCAATACATACAATCAAACGCTTCCTGAACTATGACATTTAATTAGCATTTAGGAATAGTTAATGAAAATATTGTGTATATTTACTCATTAGGTCTACTAAAAACAAGTCTGTTGATTCATGTAAGTGCATAAATATTAGCCTAATAGTTAATACCGACTATTAATAGTAAACTAGGAATGAATTTAATACAATACAAACAATCTATTTAAATAACTAAGCAACGGGATTTATTATACGCATCTTATGAGTATTTCACGAGTAGTTTCGAGTAACGACGGGGTGGTGTATAACCAAGTTTGAAACTAGTCGAGCAAACATTTTAATATATTTTTGTGTGTCATTAATTAAGTATATCTCATTAAAGTTCTAATAGAAAAATAATACAGTTACTATTTCATTGAAAATGATATATAATACAAAAAATTGTTAAAATTTAAGGTTTGTTTGCCTTCAAACCTATAAAGAATGAGCCTAATGTATGATGCTGAACCATCCTATCTACGCACTGCTATAAAGAAATCTAAAAACACAGACATAAACTCTATACAAAACCTTTTCCACAAAACTCAGTTTTAAAATCATCTAGCTTCGAAATCAAGACTTTTGCGACTAATAAGCCAATTTCTAAATAGAAGTGACGTAATTTTAGCTACATATATTAAAAAGCCTCGAGTGTAGCCATTAAAAATAATCTAAGTAAAGATTATAATATCTCGACACTCAAGCGATTATAAACCTAGTATTAAAGTGAAAGAAATGAAAGTCATGTTCAAGATGTCATTGACCTCAGATCGTAAGACTGGTTGATTGACAAGACATAGTTTAACTCAGTGTATTTATTTTGTTCAAGAATAAATATATAATAAACTAGCTACTCTCGCGCCGTTCCACCCGCTGCTCAGCTCCATTTGATCGTAGCGTGATGTTTTTAAATATTGTAGCTATCTACCAGTGAAAGAATTTTGGCAATCCGACCAGCGGTTCCAAAGATTACCCCTTACATAGAAACTTACAAATTTCACCTCTTTATAATATTAGTATAGATTGTGCATATTGAGTCTATCATGCATTATAATTAAATAATAATATTTTTGCTAACTCTTTTGGTAGTTGCTTAGTGAGAGTTATAGATTATTATGTTGTACTAAGCGTCGTCGAGCATTTGATTGACCAAGGTTTAAATAAATTAGTCGGATGCATATTGTAGTACTTGATAGACCCAGTTGCATATGATTGGTCGATACAAAATATGTAGGTTAGAAATAATAATAGGTATAGTCAAATTGAGTAATGATTTATTTACAATAATTATTAATAAAAGATGATATAGTTAACACAATAAAATATTTAAAAGTTGTAAGATAGGAAAATTAATATTAAAATGCATTTATTTGTCAAAAAACTTTATTGTTTTATTTTCCTTATTAGATCTAGATATATGAAAGAAGAAAGAAAGAAAGAAAAAACATTTATTTTTGCGCAAGCGCACACACATAAAACAAAAATACAAAAAAGAAGAAAATAAAATAATACTAAAAATCTAAACTAAATGGCACAGATAACAAAAAAAATGGTTTTTAAAAACAAATTATAATAACAAAAGAAAAAATAAACAAAAAGTTTTGTCTACAAAAAGTTTTGTCTATGGTCCACAGAGTATTTTAACAGTATGCGCGAGGTCGCGTGTATTTTTATTATCTGTGAACCATAAGGACAAGATAGTAACATTTGTGTTTACCAAACAATAACGAAAAACATATATTAATCCAATTAAATTGATAATTTCCTCCTTACGGTTGTTGTAACTAACAATACAATGTGGTACGAGCGCAAAAAATGGACATGCTCAGCATTTGCTGAGACCCCAACCACAAGGGACTGGTGCCACAGCGCTGATTTTCAGCATATCCTTGGGTGACGTGATGGCGTCCCACCATAACTATGAACATTTTGAAGCGAAAAGCAGCGTGAGTACAGGCTATTCAAATTAACATGTAATCGTGTAACAAAAGCGTGTGTCGTGTATGATTGTACTCTGTAGGTGTGTGTAGTAAATGTGTGTCTTGTTTCCAGCATGCAGCCAAGGGTTATTTGCAGAAACACGTGTGCTGTACTAACAGGGGGAAAGTATGTAATCGCGGACAATATCTGTTGGATGCCTGTATCCCTTGCAGGAAGGCCGCGACCTTAAAGGTTAGAAATATACACTAATTTTTGTAATTTGCGTAGATAAATAGATTAATAAATAATGAAGAGAGTTAGGTTAGGTTGAGTTCTGTAGGTTTTGTTAATACTTTTTCATGTGTAGTAAAAAGTTACTTTTTGTTTTCAGGCCTCGCATTGGTGGTGGCAGGTTATTCCAACAGTGGGTCGCAGCATACCTGAAACTCCCCCTGAAGGCCGCAGTTCTGTGTTGAGGAATAGATAGTGGATTTGTTGCAGAGCGTATGTGGTTTTTACATGAATGTTGCCTCCAATTTAACCTCTCATACAGGTACCGTGGTTTTTGAGTAGTTATGACTCCAAACAACAGACCTGTCATGTGTAGTCGTCTTCTAGCCTCCATTTTTAATATATTGTTTTGATTTGCAAATGGAGTGACATGGCTTCTCCTTGGTATGTCAACACAGTACCTTATGCAAGCATTTTGTATACGCTGGATTAATGTATTTGTTCTTGCCAGCAAGCACGGGCCATAGACTGTGTCGCAGTAATTTAACTTTGACAGTACCAGGCTATCCACAAGCTGTTTGCGCAGAGCTACACTCAAGTGTTTTCTAAATGTGTAGAGCATTTTAAGTCTGTAAAAACAGTTCCTCATGCAATTTACAATGTGCTTCTC